AATAAGAATTTACAGGAATTCTCTCAATATACAAAATTCAGTGTGCAGTCAAGCCATGTTGCCTCAAAATTAAAAAAAATTTTTTTGTTGTTTATGTGGCAAAACAATCTCAACTCAAAATTTGTTTAATGGCTTTTGCAGAAATTTCTCTCACCATTGCAAAATGGAAGTGGCTCATGTATCATCATTTACTAATTTTTTTAGGGGTTTTTTTTTGGATGAAATTTAATTTTAAATATATTAAGTTGGATCTTTTTTGTTTAAATGTATTTATTATTTCATTTCATTTCATTCTATTCTATTCTATTCTATTCTATTCTATTTCATTTCATTTCATTTTATTTTATTTTATTTTACTTTAGTTTATTTTATTTCATATTATTTTATTCTATTTTATTTTGTTTTATTTCATTTTATTTTATTCTATTCTATGTTATTTCATTTTATTTTATAAGTCTGGAACTTTCTTTTTAATTATTTGTCTATTTATTTTGGTGTTATTTTACTCTCTTGAGGAGAATGATGACAATGAGCCCATTATTAACTGGATTCTCTCCATGGTGATTGGTCTAAAATTAAACTGTAAATCTTGTGGGTCCCATGATAAATATTAAGATGGACTAGTCATATTAAACACAACAAAGACCTCTGTCTTTACATTTTATAGTTCTGTTGAAAATTAATCTCTTGTTTCTGTGGTTGTCTTCACCATCGCACGTTAATCCATTATCCCCTCGGCAGTATTCAAACTGTGCTGGACAACACTGTGCGAGCTCTGATTCCACACTGCGTATCCACATGGAAACGACCGAGCACGGTAATAAAATGGACAGCAATGAATTGCTAATGTTCCAGTGAGTCGCTATTGTGTGGCCTGCAATATGAGGAGGGAGTGCATTCATCTGCCTGCAAATACTGAATAATTTATCAGAATATGACTTATTTGGTTGGCCCTTGAGTTAATTATCTGCTCTTTCATAGCTCCCTTGATACCTCGCTCACAGCATCACCATGAACTCAGCATCATTCCAGTAACTTAGTTAATCCCCAAAGACACGTTATAAAGGCTCGCAGCCGGGCAGACTGTGATATTAATGTTGCTGCAGAGGGAATAGTGGACTCTGCCGGGCTGGAACATACCTTCAAAGTGATGTTTATACAATGTAATGGACCAGATGTAATGTTGCGTAGATAATACATGAGAATCCTAATGGAATATTTATGTGGGCTCCCGTTCAGCTTGGTTGATCCTCCATTTCAGCGAGGTCAGGGGTGGGGTGGTTCAAAGTGTCCGTGTGTCTCCACAGTGCTGCTCACTAATTTTAAACACAACACTGTAAGATGGAGAACAAACCTCATCACAGTGGACTGCACATTAACAGGGAAGAGGTGAAGAGGGTAGCAAGCTTTAAGTTCCTGGGGGTGCACATAGCTGAGGACCTGACCTGGAGTCTGAACACCTTCCATATTATCAAAAGAGCCCAGCAAAGGATGTTCTCTCTGAGGACCCTGACATGTAACAGGCTTCCTCAGGAACATTTGATCCGCTTTTAACACTGCACAGTTGAGAGCATAATAACATACTGCTGTACGTTTTGATTCTCCAGCTGCACTGCAGCTGAGAGAAAAGACCTGGAGTGGGTTGTCAAGATGGCTGAGAGGATCATCAGCTTCCCTACATCTTTGTGACATCCACTCAGGCCGTCATCTCACACAGGCCACAATCATAAGGTCGGTCCCCTCACACCATTGTCACCCCCTCTTCATTAACCTTCTCTTGGGCAGACAGGGAACCCCCATCACAAGCACAAACAGGCTACGGAGCTGAGGACAGACGTCAGAGCTAAATGGTTTGGATTGCTGATAAATGAATTGCTCCAACAACGTTTCGTTGTATATAACCCAATGAAAATAAAGGATCTATCTATGTATCTCTATCTATTGGTGGTGGATGCCTAAATATTCATTTACACAAATGCATTGAAATCCTTTCAGTATTTATTCATTTTAAACCAAACCTACACACAACAAAAGAGATATTTTGTCACTTAAATTAGTGGTGCTTGTGCTTTAATATCTCAGTGATTCAAAACACATTGAATATGTTTTATCATATCGGTCCTCTCAGCCTCTCTGGTCATGTGGTAGCTGTCTGCTGACCATCTCTAGAGTCAAAACGAAACATGAAGAAACATTAAGTTCAGGGGTCTTAGATGTTTTTCAGGCCAAGGACCCCTTAGCTGAAAGAGAGATGGAGCAGGGACCCACTACAACATAAAAATGAGTTATATCTTAAAAAGGATTTTTTTTTTCAAGAGGGGTTGTGTGAGGTACTATCCATAGTCAGTGTATTACATGCAGTAGATGTCAGTCGGCACACCCCCAGTTTGGAGAAGCAGGCTGGAGTCCGACATGGAAGTTAAGAAATCCACATAAAAAATCAATATCAGTTTAAGTTTTACGCTATATTGAGAGTATTTTGCATGGCTTCACCTTACTGTCAAACAGTGATTTCCAACTGGAAAATGAAGCTGTTATATCGCCCTCCTCAAAACTCAGTAGCAGTGATTTAATATTGCTGAACACAGGCACCACTGATCTACCGCTGCCTTGATCTGTTTTTTGTTTGTGTTACTGTTTGACTTTGCGTTTAGTTCGGATTTACCAAAGTCACACTATAACACAAACTAACTAACTGCTGAAGCTGTGGTAGACCAGCAGCTCCCGTGTTCAGTGAGGTAAAATTAGTGTTTTTGTCAATGATGTCTGGTGGCCTTGACGAGAGCAAAGATGGGGAACTGAAGCCATTGACGGCTTCCCCACTGGAGCAGGTTGTCTGACACAAAGGTAAGGCACTGAAAGTACTCTCAATATAGCATACACTTAAACTGACCGTTTTGTTGCTGACCCCCTCCATGTCGAATTCCAGCCTGTTCCTCCAAACTGGGGGTGTGCCAGCTGACATCTACTGTATATAATACACTGAATATAGATAGGTACCCCATACAACCCTACTTAACAAAAAATTTACTTCCCCTTTAAACTGTGCCGACAATAACATGAAGGTCAGCCTAAAGTGCCAAGTATAAACATGCCCTTATATGGTGTGTACAATACTGAGCTATTACAATAATACTTACTGACAGATTCATATGTTTATACATCATATTTTCATGTTAAATATACATGTGGAAGGCACAGTGAATCCTTAAGTTTAACTGTATCTGTGGATACTGGCATGTCTGATGTCTGAAATCTGCTTTCACAAAGATAGCTCCTCGCAAAAGTCAAAATATGTTGGATGCATGTTAATGTGTATTTTTTCCACATATTTTAATTAATGGAGAAAAAAAACCTTTCAATAAAATTAACTAAATAATGTGGTGCCCCCCTGCTGTAACTCTGAAGACCCCCTAGAGGTTGCAGACCCCCTGTTGAGGACTCAGGATTTAGTCAGATCTTTATTTTCCATACAGCTTTGATTATCTCTGTGAGAACACACAATGGCACAACGTCCTGCTGGTGATATATTCAGTTACTGTATGATGGTTTGATGTATTTTGATCGATAAAAAGACACCAGGAAACATTGCTTTGTCTTACACAGCAAATATGTGAGGGTCATTAAGGGTTAAATTCTCAGGGAAATGTATTCAAATTGTTAGGAGAGTTCACATGGAGAAGACGGTGCTCTTTGACATCCATTTTAAATAATCTAAAGCCTTTGCTTTACTTGTACATCGTGACCTAAATTAACCTCAAAGATTCAGATTATATCTTGATCCAACTGTCTATATAGGAGACTAATCTTCCCTCTCCATCACGATTTGCTCCACATATAGAAACAACACTAAGTCTATGGTAATTCAATATCATGTTAAATATAATTTAGTGTGGCTGTTTGAAAAGGCCTGTATGTGCTAACAGAAGTAAGCTGCTGGAGCTTCACTGAGTCGCTTTGCTTAAGTTGAGAAAAACCCCATGATGAGCAGCTCTTATCTGAGACAGATAATGACTTCATTTCAGTTTGAATCATGTGATGGGAGACATGGAAGAGGACCCACTGAGAGAACAGAGAACTGTCTGTGTGTGTGAACAGAAATGACTGCAGTTGGGATGCAGTCATCATTTATGGACAGTTATTACACAACATGGATTTTTGTTGCAGAAAATGCTGCTGCTGAAAGCCCTCCATGAAACCGAGATAGGCGACATTTTTATGTTTGTCCTTTATATGGGTTATACATGAGATAGGCAAACTTACAAAAATGTCCTGAGCGCAGTGAAAGAGTGGTTTTGTGACAACATGAAACAAACATCTCATGCATGTTGACATGAATGTCACACAGGAAATGTTACTTGCAATTTCCTCTTTTTGTTTCTCTTTAAAGCCAAACAAATCAATGCAACAAAAGCAGAAGGTGTAAGATATATTTAGCAGTGAAACAGAAACTGTGCTCACACTGACGGTGTCATGACTGGAAACATAATGATCATGGGTGTTAAAAGATGTTCAGTGTGTGGTGGGGAAGAGTAAGTTTTCCTAGAAGTAGATAGACAAGTGATCGGTATTAGATTCAGGACTGAGATTGGTTATTGTTTTTTTGTTTTTTTTAAGTTTTGTTTTCTCCTTAAATTAAAGTATGTATGAGTCCAACATATTTTAACTTTTACAAGAAGATATCTTTGTGAAAGTGTATTTCAGACATCAGACAGCTCTTCCACATGTATGTTTACCTTTAAAATATGAATATAAATATAAAATATATAAATCTGTCAATAAGTATTATTTTAGTAGCTTAGTATTGTACACACAATAAAAAGGTACGTTTATACAACATGATATTCACGGCCCAGTTTAATGTATAACTCAGTTTTATACAGTTTATGTCTCTCTTCCAGCTAAAGGGCTCTGTTAGAGTCATTTCTAGTAAGTCCTAGTTTCCTATTATTTTTTTGATCACTCTAACGCACCACCTGACCTGGCATCTCGTGAACGTTTAACTAAAGACAGGTGTGCTGAAGTGAGCCACAGGGTTACAGTCTGCGTATTTGGTTAATCTTGGTTTTATTGTTTGATGGCGTCATTTAATACCCAGTTGATTAGACCTTTGTTTTTGTAAAGGCCTGTTTATTTGGGGAATGTTTGCTGGGGGATTTTTTGTTTTCATTTTTTTTAACGCAACAGTCAAGACAAGTCAGTTCACAGTGTCATCCTGTAAATCAACTGAAGCGCCCTGGATCACCGAACAGTGAGTAAAACTAAACCAAAGACAATGAGGTCATCCTATCTCATGTTGTGGCATCTGTAGACGGCAATTTTTTTTTTAACTTATTTGAAAAGCCGCAATAACATTGAAGACCCCTGTTTAACCACAAGGGGGCACTCTGCAGTGGGCTCTGTATGATTACAAGCAATTCTCTATTTTCCTCACAGACTTTTCCTTTTTGGATTCAGAATCCACAGCAGGCCTATAGGGAAACATGAGACTAGTATATGCTGCACATTTTTAATACAATTCAATTAAGTTTAATTCAATTCAACTGTATTTATAAAGCCCAATGTCGCAAATCACAATTTGCCTCAGAGGGTTTCACAGCATACGACATCCCTCTGTCCTTTGGACCGTCAGAGCAGAAAACTCCCCCACAGAAACCCTTTACTGGGGTAAAAATGGTAGAAACTTCAGGAAGAATAACTGAGGAGGGATCCCTCTTCCAGGACGGACAGACATACAATAGATGTCATGAGTACAGAGCAGATCAACATAATAATATTACAGTACAAAATGATAGGGAGAGAGTGACAGAGAGAAAGAGAGACACAGGAACAACAATAATAACAATAATGATAGAAATATGAATCACAACAATAATAGTAGTAGCTGATGATAGTATATATGTTATATGTATATAGATTCAAGGTTCAATACTTGATTGCCATGTCAACATGTCAATAGGAATTTGTTTCAGTGGAACTTCACGCAATGACAAAGAAACACTCACTCAATATGTTACACAATAAAATAAATACATAAAAATAAGATAAAATCCAGACCATAATAGGGTATAAATACTAAAATAATAAAATGATACTAAGGCACCTGTAGGGGGATTAGCAGCAACAATACAGTATAAAGTGCACAATAAAAATGGTGTGCCATGGGATTTTTTTGATAATTATTATTACAATAATATTCAACTTGACCTAAACAAAAAGTTATGAATGAATATTTAATTGTATCAGTATGTTGTGGGCACCCATTCCCTAATAAAGAGGCAAACTCTAGCTAAAAAATGTGATTTAGTGTAATTAAATTTAATTTAAAAAACCTTTACAGGAGGACCTGTTTGTTGCTGTTCAGGTGTAGGACTTATAAGTGTGTGACACATCAAAAGCCCTGATTGGCAGCCAGTGTGAGGGATGATATCCTTTAAAAGGAGAAAGCCGTGAGTGTGACAATGGATCGCTTTATTGTACGGAGAAAGTTACAACAAAGCACCAGCAAAGACGACCTACCACTGAAAGAAGACAGTATCACAAAAGCTACCTGTCTTATTTTTTATTATTTTATTGTCTTATGCAGTAACATACATAAGATAAATGATAGCCAGTGATGAGAGAGACACAGAAGAGAAGAGGCTCAATGTGTCACAGAAGTCCAGTGGCAGACTGGGCCTACATCAGTTCAGTCAGTACAACTGGACTTCTGGACTTCTGGTAGTATGACTTTCTTATTATAACGCATACTGTATCACACATACTGTAATTAAAATTCAGTGTAACAATTTGTCACTGAGATCTTTGGCCCAGATGACGCCGCATGACTCATTGGAGCCCCTGATGGTTCACTTTTATGCTTGTGCCTTGTTCAAACATTGAAACAGAGAGGATGGATCTTTTATGATACAATTCAGCAGATCTGCCAGATCTCCACCATACTGGCCTTTTCATAGTGACTGTTTATGTGTGCTAATCACTTGTATACAGTACATCATCAGACAGTTATCACCTCAAACGTGAAGTAAACTTCTAGGTTGAAAAATCTACTTTTACCTTCAGGTTTTCTCCAACTTCGCATAACTACACAGAGACCTACGAGACTTAAGAAACTCTGTGCTGAAGTTATTAGTATGTTTAGTTTGCAGCATGGAATATCAACCACAGACTGAGGCGACAGTTGAGTGAGTCACAATCATGACTGGAAGTAATCAGCACTGACATTACACTCATTATAAACCAACATACCACATATTGTCCAGCGTCAACTCCCTAATCAAAAGCAAACATCGAGGCACTGACTCATTAAAGGCGAAGGGCGTGTTCTTTATTACATTTATTCATACAGGAAATGCTCGGCACACATCATCCTCACACTCAGATATTCCTTTCTCCATGCCCACACATGGCCAATCTTCAAATGAGAAATCGTCAAAACCCTCCTGAGAAGCTGGTGATGTAACTGTTGTGTTAAAAGGCACCACAGTGAACTTTGAGAAAAGGAATCAGTGGTTTTCTTACTTAAGTCTGCAACTTCCCTTTTCTAATATTGTTCCCTTTAAGTCCTCTTCTCCTTTTGTGTGTGTGTGTGTGTGTGTGTGTGTGTGTGTGTGTGTGTATGGGTGGACGTTCCTGCAGAAAACAGTGCTCTATCTATACTAGATATTAGTCTATGGTTTAAATTACTATGTTATTGCATGTGTTGTCCACATGAGGGCGCCATCATGTTACCAGCTGACACAGGACATGCTCAGACTCAAACTCACTCATTCAGGCACTCGCTCATTTGGACAAAACTGAATCTAAAAAGGAAAAAAAAAATCACAACCAAAGACAAGACATTTATTTATTTATTTTGACCAAGACTGAATTCCCTGATTCCTCTTTTAAATAGTGGAGTACGACGTCCAGGGGTCCTTGAGGGAGTTCCAGGAGGTCCCCGGAAAAATGCAGAGTAGGTTATTTTCACTATATAATTCACTATTTTCACTATATAATTCACTATCAGAGTGAGCATAGCGTGGGTAGGAGTCATAAGAGCGTCTTTTCCGATCATAGGTCACTTCCTCCACAGTTATCTCTTATGTTTACTTTTGTTTTATTTTTGTTTATTCTATCGATATATATACGGAAGTTGAATTTCACAATTACAACCTCAGCACAGTGATGCTATATATTTTATTTTAAATATTTTTACATCTTAAGTACTTGTGTTAAACTCTGTAGAATAGTGTATATTATATTTTTTATTTTAATGCACATTTTCATTTCTGTTTTATTTTATCTTATTTTATTTTATTGCTTTATATTTTGTTTATTTTATTCTATTCTATTTTATTTTATTGCTTTACATTTTATTTTATCGTATTTTATTTTATTGCTTTATATTTTATTCTATTTTATTTTATTGCTTTACATTTTATTTTATTCTATTTTATTGCTTTACATTTTATTTTATCTTATTTTATTTTATTGCTTTATATTTATTCTATTTTATTTTATTCTATTTCATTTTATCGCATACATTTTATTTTATTTATTGTAACGAATCACAGTTCTGATTCTGATATCTAAGAGCCAGAATATTTTCAGATAGTGGTCACTGAAGAGAAATCTCATCAAATGGGGTTCAGTGACCTGATGTGCATCAGTTTAGGGGTCTTTGACACCCAAAAGGTTGAGAGCCACTGGAGAATTATCTTGTCTGTCTAAAAAACAACATATTGGTGTGAGCATGATGCACTCAGAGATGTAAAGAATCAAATGTTCACATTATAAATATCAGTAAAATACATGTTCAACCAGCAGTATAAGTCTACATTAAAGGGGAACACCACCTAAATTCAGAATTCCACTTCCATGGCCTGGGAAAATTCAGTAAATATTTGTGAACATGAGCTACTCTCTGTGAAAGCCAGAAACCTGAGAAATAAGTCTCGTACTTATGATGTCATCAAGTATAAAGTCTGGAGGTCTGTTTTGACCTTTGTACCCATGTACTCAGAACAGCCCCCTGGGTGCCCTCAGTGTCATCTATAACATCTTTCCAAATTAATTGTCTATGGAGCAGTGCCAGACTTTGTAGTTTGTGACATCACAAATTTGAGTTTTAGCCATAGAAATAAAATGAATAGAAAGGACATTGAACTGTTTGCTGTTGTCATTGACTAGTCAAAGTAAATGGCACTTGTTGTTAGCTGTTATGTAAAAAACACTTGTCAGTGAGGCTGTAAAGTGTGTCACGAGTTTGAGAACTCTGCTTTGGCCTTTTCTACAAACCTGTTTTCCTTATTAAGCAGAGAAATACAACGGCACACCTATCGAAGCTTCTGTCTTCCATAGAAGCAAGCTTTAGCCACAGAAGTTTTCCACAGAAGTTAGCTTGATTGCCTTGTTAACTCATTGTAAAACACCCTTCAGTCACACTCGGCAGACACAAACGGTCTTAGTGAGTCTTGTTAGTCATCTAGTGAGTTCGTCCACTGTTCCAACAATCACCAACTCAGGTTTGGTCAAAATGAATCCTTAACTCACCGAGTTAGATGTGAAAATACTCTGATTTACACGTTGTTTATCCCCGCAGCTCTCACTCGTTCTTGGAGGCAGCTAAAGTACGTCATGTTTCAACGAATGGCAACAAAAGAAACAGAGAAATAACAGCTACAGTGATAACGTACTTCTACACTGCTCATTTGGTCGTTACTGCAAAACCCACCTCTTTTAGTTTGCAGCTTGCCGCAAGTCAGTTTGTTTATAGAGAAGTTTATACAGACGTTAACCTGCTTCAATGGTTGCAAATTGCACTGGCAACGGTACACGTAAAAATGGCCGCTACTCTGACCATCCTGCTACTGTATGTTGATCTTAATGGAAATGTCAGTTCTACTCTCATTCTATTTCTATGGTTTTAGCACTCTAGTTTTTAGATTTGGAAGAAAGTTGTTTATGTTTACTAATAATAATTTACTATTTTAGACCAGTGGTTCCCAATTGCAGGGTCGTGGGTCCATTCTGAATGAACCTCAAGTGACTCTGACACGTGTCAATGTGGAAAAAACACACTTAATTTTGAAGTACAGTGAATTTCTGGCACAGAGCCTTTATTTTAAAGTGCTGTTTCCTGCTGTAGAGTGAGTGACTAACAGACAGCTACTTAACAGAGACAGCAAACTAGCTCGACGGCATGGCCAAAGGCAAATATGATGTTAAATGTATTAAACAGTGTGGAGCTTGAGCTAATGACTGAGGACAAATCTGGACTGGTCAGGAACCACTGTGACTGTCTTAGAGCAAAGGTATAACATCCATAAATTTCTGAAATGGGCGTAGCTCCTCTTTAAGTCTGTTTGAATTCTGTTCTCAGTTGTCATCATCATTCAGGCTAGTAAAAGGTGTTTAAAATAGCATCCAGAAACGGGGATAATTGTTCCCTTGAAACAATGAAAATTCCTGAAGTCAAAGGCTGCGTGCGGTGGCTTCCTCTCTGGTTAGTCCTGTTGTGTTTGTTTTTATTATTTGCTTCAAAGGGACTAAACCACCACCTTGATGCCTTTTTGAACTGTTTTTTCTTCCTGCATGAAAGAGCTTGGGAATGACGACAGAGTGGCCTCTCGCATCAAAGTTTGCTTATTAGTTCAGGATTTACTCCGTTTTCTCATTGTTGTGTACTTCTCCGATTTGTCTCACTGCATGTTTGTACAGCGGAGATGACTATTGTGAGGAAGGATATTTAGTTTGATTCAGCCCCAGCAGACATCCCCTCCCTGCTGCATCAGGCAGACTTCAAAATAAGAGGTTTAGGGATTACAGGCATCCTGTCGTTGACCTCTGTGTTTACTTAATCATGGTGCGCTTGCACCACTATTACCAGTATTTACACTTATGTATGAGTAGAGTTAAGGAGTCAGAGGGAGTGCCAATCCTATATGGAGCAAGAATAGGACGGAGGAACAGGAGGATGATTACCTCCCAACATTCATCAACATGACCGATAATTCAACTATGAAATAACCCTTTGACCTCTCCAGTTACTGTTATAGACATGTCAGAATGAATTAAGAGTCCTCTCTGGTATCCTTGAAAGTCTTGTGGAGGATTTCCTCTGCATGCAGTGTCTGGAAGAAAATGTTTGTGTTGTACTTTCCTGCAAACCACAGATATGTTACATTTGTATGTTTCGGACTGTATGTGTCATATCAATGATTTTAAAGTGACGTAGTGTATGAGCTGACTTTGTCATCAGGGAGTGTTTTTTGTTTTGTGTTTTCAGCTGGGATAGTGCTACAAAAAGCAATTCATTTTTACCAAGAAGGCAGTGCATTTCCAGCCAGGATAGTGCGATTAAAAGCAGTTGTTTTTGACAGAAGAATTGCTGCGTTTATTGCTGGGATAGTGCCAAAAAACGTGACATCACTGCGTATCTGAGAGGGATAGTGCCATTAATAACGGTTGTTTTTTAATCAAGACATCACTGCATTTACCCCAGGATAGTGCCATGAAAAGTAGTTAATTTTTTACTAAGAAGTCAGTGCATCTCCTGCCAGGATATTGCTATGAAAAGTACCTTTTTTACTGAGACATGGCTGCATTTACGGCCAGGATAGTGCCACAAAAAGCAGCTGATTTTCGCAGAGACATTGCTGGGTATCTGACAGGGATAGTGTCATAAATAATGGTTGTTTTTTTACCAAGACATGGCTGCAGTTTTCCCTGGGATAGTGCCATGAAATGCAATTCATTTTTTACCAAGAAGTCAGCACATTTCCTGCCAGGACAGTGCCATTAAAAGAACTTGTTTTTGACAGAGAAATTGCATTGCATTTACTGCTGTGATAGTACCATGATAAGCAGTTGTTTTTTACTGAGAAGTCAGTGCATTTCCTGCCAGGATAGTGCTTTGAAAAGTGGCTGATTTTCGTAGAGATGTCGCTGTGTATCTGACAGGGATAGTGCCATGAATAATGGGTGTTTTTTACCAAGACATTGCTGCATTTTCCCCAGGATAGAGCCATGAAAAGCTGTTGTTTTTGCCAAGAAGTCAGCACATTTCCTGCCAGGATAGTGCCATGAAAAGCAGTTGTTTTTGATGGAGAAACTGCTATGTTAACTGCTGCGATAGTGCCACAGAAAGTGGCTGATTTTTGCAGAGACATCGCTGCAAATCTGAAAGAGATAATGCCACAAATAATGATTGTTTTTCACCAAGACATTGCTGCATTTTCCCTGAGATAGTGCCACTAAAAAGCAATTGTTTTTTACTGAAAAATCATTTCCTGTCAGGATTTTGCTTCCAAACCAGGTATTTTAAGCCAAAATATGATCTTTTCCCAAACATTACCAATTGATTTTTGTTCCTTAACCTAACCACATTAACCACAGTGTCTTTGAAATAAGAACGTGCGGTTCTTCAAAGGGCCTCAGCACTGGTAGCTGAATCACAGCAGCTTAAAAGTATCTCCACCCTCTTTGCAGACCCTGAATTGCAGAGTGCATCACACACGCTCATTACTTCAATTTCCTCACACCCGATCAAAATAATAGGATTTTTGCCATCAAAATTACAGCATGCCGGGCTGTGCGCAGTGATGTGTAGGGAGGAACAAGGGTCCAGTGTTTTGCAGGGTGTTTCACTGCCAATGAACGGCTCATGCGACTGCTGCTGCCCGTGCCGCCGCTTTGCCTTTTGGCTCCACTTACTCTCATCCTTTTCCTTGCAGCTGTCAGCAAATTATACTTGAAACAAAAAAGAAAATCATATCAGTTCTCACAGAAACAGCAACCAACACTGACAAAGAAATAAACTAGAAATAAAAACATAAAATGAGAGTGATCAGTGTTATGTTTCACCTCTACCTCTGCCTCTCAACAACATAATACCATAATAGTAGTGATGTTTCACACTGCTTCCTGCCGCTCCACTTGTTAAATACCAGTCATTCATGTCAACGTAACTTCATTCCAGTGACGCAAAATGGTATTTAACCTGTCACTGTTCCTGTTCTTTTGGACGGGGGATGAAATGTTGAAATAAAATCCTCAAGTAATTACCTTAAACGGACACCACACGCCCGACAGAAACATCTTTGAATTAATGGGACGGCCGTGTTGGGGAAATCTTCCAATTATCATTTAATAGCAAACACAAAAGACACAAAAATGAAAATTTAAAAAAGGAAGCAAGAACTGTAAATGTTAATTTCCTCTTGTCAGGCTATAAAGTCAAATGTTAATGTGTTCCTCCTTTTAATCTGTCTTTGAATTAAAAAGAGGAAATGGAGTTCGTTGGAAGACAGGGCGTCACAGTGTGAGATTACTCAGAAATGATCAGATGAGTGGAGGCGTTGGAGGTGATGCAAATCAAAAGCATGCTGATACATCAAAGCTGCATGGAGGAAAAAAACCCAAACAAAACCCAAACAAACAAAAACAGGTTAAACAACTTCCCTTCAAATAAAAATGAAAATGAAAATAAATAATAAGATTTAAAAAAACTTTAATAAAAAATAAATTATATTAAATATTTACAAAATAAATATCTTAAAATCATCATTAGAAACAAACTTATCCTCCCTCTCTCTTCTTCTGTGTGTGTGTGTGTGTGTGTGTGTGTGTGTGTGTGTGTGTGTGCGTGTGTGTGTGTATTAGAGGTTAAACGAGGTGACCCAACAGGAACAGTGTAGGCGGGACATCAGAGCAGCTCTGCACTATCACACATGATCAGGTTTGTGGAAAACTCATTTTCTGCTGCTACATGACACCCAATCTGTTAATAATAATAATAAGGTTCCTAATGGCAGCCGTCTGCTGCAGGTTGCCGAGCGTGTGTGCTGTGCAGCGTGCCTGCCTGCACGCACACATTTTCTATTTCCAGTCCATCAGTGCGAGAGAGTGCTGAGGGTTTAAACCACAAAGGCTTGTGATCTGTGAAGAGGCAGAGCCTGAAAAGAAGTGAGTGAGTGTTTGGTCGTCTAGCAACCAACTGTGACTCAGAGAGAAAGTATAAGAGAGCGTATATGAGACTCTGTGCACGTCTGCCATGAACGTTTGACAGAAGTGGAAACAAAAAGAGGTGTTTTGAGTCATCAATTTCACTTTTTTCTGGTAAAGTACAATTCTTAGGAAATTGAAGTCACACATAGTCATCACTGCTAAAATAAAACGTGCTTTGGAAAGCCGCAGGATTGTTATGATATCACTCTCACTCACTTGATTTTGACTAAACTGACAAAGTGCTGAACCAGGTACCTGTAAAAGGAGAATGGATGCGGTACCAGCTATCGGAGCTTCTGCAGAATGGGTGGAGCTACACACGTAACCACACAAACACACATGACACATGGGTTTACGTGACCTGATTTCAGGTTTGGTGAAGGGCGTTGTGCCACAAGTGCTGCTTACATTCCAGCTGACACTGATGGAAGTTTTGGCAAGCTCACTTAAATAAAGTGGACTCAAAGTGACTTTAAGCACTGGAAAAAAATTTTTAGGTGTAGAATTCAGGGGGGGGGGGGGGGGGGGGGGAGGGGGGTGCCCCCCTCGATATTAAAGGGAAATTTCGGTTTATTTCAACCTGTCTCCTATCGTCCTAAATTTGTTTCAAGTGACTAGTGACGAAAAATAATAGTTAGCATGTTAGCCGTTAGCCTAGATACAGCCGGGGCGCATTAGTAGCGTCAGACCTGCTAAAACGTAAGTGAAAGGGCATCCCTTCAAGTGCAAAGTTAGTCCACTAAACAAGCTTTTTTCCACAAAGACCGCCTCATATCGTTAGGATAAATGTCAGAGAACATATAGAAAACGACATGTAAACCTTACCGGTGTGCTGCCATGTTTGTTTACCATTTAGCTCTGCTTTCCAAAGCGCGATCGAAATATCGCGATAGCAAGCAGCGATCTCATACCGTGCCTGAAATCTCGCGAGAACAAGCAGCAACAGCTGGAAGGCAGAACCGGACAGTAGCCTGAAAAGTTCAATCATTTATTTTATGAAAGATTTATAGAATAATGACTGACTTTTTGCCAGATTTTGACTTTGTGGAGGAGGAATTTGATTTTGCAGAGTTTGATGGCCGCTCTTATTTTTTTGAGCCAGAATACACTGATGAAGAGCTTCGTGAAACTGAAGAACGGAGGAGGAGAGAGAGAGAGTGGCGCAACAGGTAGAGGACAAGAGAGGAGGAATGGCTGCCACAAGGCTTTAGCTCTGGAAATTGGTGGTGTACCTGTGAATGCTGCACCCCAGTGCCCACAGAAGAGGAATGCCTCTGTTGCAAGGAATGGGACCGGTTGCAGCCTTATTTTCAAGGTCTGGATGTGTCCGAGGATGAGACACCTCCACCTGGAGTAATGTTAGTATCCAGCTGGGCTTTATCTAGAGCTCGCGAGATTTCAGGCACGGTATGAGATCGCTGCTTGTTCCCGCGATATTTCGGCCGTTAGTGGACTAACTTTGCACTTGAAGTATGCCCTTTCACTTACATTTTAACAGGTCTGACGCTACTATGTGCCCCGGCTGTATCTAGGCTAACGGCTAACATGCTAACTATTATTTTTCATCACTAGTTACTTGAAACAAATTTAGGACGATAGGAGACAGGTTGAAATAAACTGAAATTTCCCTTTAAGAACACGTGCATTTGTCAGCCCCCAATGAAATCATTAAGTAGCAGCTTGTGTTTCGACAAAATTCACATCATAAATTGATCCACAAAATGCGCAAATCGGTGCATATAATGTCCCAGAATGCACAAAATTAAGAGTTTGTGCTCAGATTTTTTTGCCAGACGACCTCCAAACCCCGTTCCATGTGTCCACCTGTTGAAACAAAACCTGCACCCTTGGAGAAAGAGAAAGAAACAAATGTTGGTGGCAGATAAGGACTGTCGTTAACTGTTGTTCTAAAACACTAATAAAATATAATTAATACAGAGTGTTGTACAAATTATATCTTCACATAAAATGCTGCCAGGTGCCTTCCCCCACTTTTTTTAATGACTAAAACTGGCTAACTCTACCACAGTGGTCAAGCCTGAGTGTCCCAGAGTGAATGTGTACAGCCACAGAGAAGAGAGTACAGAATAAAGAGCCACACACAGATAAAGTGAAAACCGCTAAGATGGAGATGAGCAGGCAGAAATGTGACGTTAAATAAAAAAGGGGGAGAGAGTCTGTTTGTGTGTAGTCATAGTGACACGCCTCTGAGCTGAACCGGTGCAGTCCTGACTGTGCCGGCTGCTGCAACAGTTCTTCCTCTCATGTAATGTGTTTAATAATGCAGTGTCATCCTGAAACTAAAGCCAGCCTCAGGTTTCCCCTCAGTGAGATCACGTTGATATACGGCTCTCTCTGGCTTCCCCAATGACTCAATAAATCACATGGTCCTTTACAATGAAGACTACGTGTCTTTGCATCACTTATAAAACAGCTTAAAAATGAGGCAGAATGATGGTGCTGAGCGATGGTTTGTCCATCTGCAGCACTCCATCCAGAGCAAGATTCTTCACAACCACTAGCAGCCCAGTCACTGGAATAAAATGTTGGCATTGTATGTTTCTGCAATTGTGCATTTCATATGTATGATGTAGTTCGATTACATGTGTTTGAGCTTAGCTGCTCATTAAGAAGAGGAGGGGATGTTGGACACTTAGGCGAGACTAAGTGTAGGGTCTGCAGCCAACAGACAGCAGCAGATCACTGATCAACCCCAACAGAAGTGAGTGTTTTTTAATGTCAGTTCAGGACATTTCCAGCCATGTTTATGGCAACAAATCTGAGTATTTTAAGCTCAAACATGACATCTTCCTCATGCTAACCAAGTGTTTTTAATGCCTACAGCTGAACATGTTAAACACAGTGTTGTCACAACATAAAATTGAAGCATAAACAAATGTATAGTTTCAACACAGAAAACATGCAAATGTAACATATCTGTGGTTTGTACAAACATCCCCAGCATTTACTGTGGTTGCTGGGTTGCCGCAGGGTTACTATGACATTTGGTATTGATTTGTATATTTGATGATGAAGCATGGATAATTCCAGTTGCCTCTCTGTCAGCTGTGCCAAATTTGTGCTAAATTTAGGCTCTTGGTGCTTTTTGTGGTTGGCTTTGGACAGTGGTGGTGAAGAGGCTGACTTCTGCTAGCTAGCCAGGTTGTGCTTTTCAAATGTTAACCTCAGTAAACATGAAGGAAAAGATGGGCACCAGCTGAAGTAGCATCCTGCGACCTTTGTGCCACATCAGTTACCAACGGGATATCAGGAACTGTAATATCCTTTGATTCACCGAAACTTGGCTAATGCTGTGTCTGAAATCACATACTTCCCTTAGTACACTTCTATGTAGTATACTATGTGCACTATGTACTCATTGGCGTAGTGCGCAAATTTCGACAGAGTAGTGTTGTCTCAAACCAAACATGGTCGTTGTGCACTCTCTGGAAATGACAACTGCAAATTAGCTAGTTAGCAAACTAGCATTAGCATTTGCGTTATCGTTCGCAGTACCAAATCATTACAGACTGCTAAATTAACCCAATAAACATACTGCTGGCTTATACCCGACAACAGTATAGTGGTGCTTAGTGCAAAAAACACATGTATTTGTACAATGCAGCGACGGTCACGGTCGCACAGTCCTTGGCCGCCATTTCCAGTTTGAAAAGTGGTCCCTCCGCTTCCGCTACGTAGCCAAGATGCCGACCATTGAGTGTCCATAGGTCAAAACTCAACTTCTTGACCGTTTTGAGTGCACCATCCGGGTACTCATAGTGCACTGCATTTTTCCATACTTCTCAGTGTGAACGCACTTATGCACTCAAAATATTAAGTCTAAGTACAGAAGTACGCGATTTGAGACACAGCATAAGTCTTGGGCAGCACCATTCAACCAAGTGACTCTTTTTCCCTGATCTGACAGAGCAGAGGATTCTGGTAAGAGACGGAGATGAACTAGGTGAATAAGGACTGGTGTGACAGTGTCTTGTCCGAGGTGGCTACAGAGCAGCGCGGCCCGTGTTTGGAAGGAGCGACCATGCGGCCATCTTGTTGAGGGTCCGGATGTTTGGACAGTTTAATCATTCCACAGCCAGAAACCATGGATTACCAGAACCATCTGGAATAAAAAAGGACTAAATCAGTGATTCCCAACTGGTCCAGCCACGGGGTCTGGATTTCTCCTCTGTCATTAGTTCAAGGTCCACACAGTAGAAGACATTTAGTGTCATACTTGTGTTTGAACGTGTCGTTAAGCTAGTTTGCTGTCTCTGTGAAGTAGCTTTCCATTGGTCAGTTCCTCTACAATAGGAAATGGGACTTCAGAATAAAAGCTGTGTGCCAGAAATTCAGTGTACTTCAAAATAAAGTGTGTTTTTTATAAACTTGACACGTTTCAGAGTCACTTGTTCATTCAGAACTGACCCGCGACCCACTTTTGGACCGCCACCCACCAGTTGGGAACCACTGAACTAAATGACAGGATAAGGGAGTTGATGGGATCACATTTCACTAGAGTTGTACCTTGTTTAATTCCATATGGCAAATAAATGATTGATTGATTGATTACAAGTTAGGTCTTATTTTTGCAGTATCAGTTATGTAAGATTGCTGAGATCTAGAAACATGGTGACATCCCTGCAAATAATTCAGACAGGGCAAGAAATTAGCAGTCACACGGTTAGGCAGGTTGTTTAGCCAGAAACCACTTTATTTGGAGGTAAACAGAATAAAAGCACAAATAAAAATCCCACTTTGTACAGGAAAACTGTGCACAGGCTCAAATATGGGAAATACTGTGCAGCAAGCCAGGAAGTTTACAACAGATCATAATTTTAATCTCCTTAGAGACTAAGTAGGAAACAGTGTGGGAATTAAATAATGCATTTTACTATAAATAAAATCATTGTCCCACTTTAAAGGTCAGTATAAGACAGATGTGACAGATTTTATTGGTTAGAGATTTTATTTATGCCTGTAGATAAACATAAAAGACAGATACTGGTGTCCAGCATGTAACCATTTCATAATAATTAAAAGTCCCCCTTTCATTTGGCCTATAAGAAGTGTTTATGCTCGACAAGATGCTGGTATTCATACAGGCTGGATGTATCACCAAACCAAACATGTTTGCACCCTTTTTCACCCACAGACTGGCTCCGACATTCAGGGTAAAATTGAATTAGAAGCAGTGATCTCACACCTCTTGGTCTTGAGACAGAGTAACAGACAGTAGACATAAAAATTATTGTACAGGATTTTTTTTACAGAGCAAAAGTAGGTTTCACAAGAAGACAGCAGACTTGCTTGCATGTCCTCTCCCTGGCTTCAGTCCCCTCTTACCTCATTTGGCTCGAGCTCGCAGACCTCAGAGATGCTCCAGTGAACTTCAGCAAACACTGCAGCAGCAAGCTAATGCCATGTGACAATCTGTTTTTCTATTTTGCACGGTCGCGGAGGCAGCGGGAGTGATGTTTCTCTAATTGGACATAATGATGAGAAGAGAGGGAGGCGGGTACCCTGTTAGAGATTATAACGTGCGCCCACTTCTTTTTTTTATGAAACAGAACAGTTTTAACTCCTTGATAACCCACTGCTTCTGCTAATGTGCTTGGTTGGAAAAAATAATCACAACATTGATCTAATATCATATGATTATTACTATTTACCGCACATAAACCAGATAATAAACACACATCCTTTCCTCTTTTCCTTGTATCTGAGTTGGCCTTGTGTTTTCCAGGTATTCTGCTTCTGACCTTTGCCCCTCCTTACTACTGCAGAAGAATTAAAGCTTATTCTGCAGCTGTAATAATTGGTTTGACAACTGTATTTCTGTATGTAAAAAACTTAACTTTCATCAGTATTCAGATATTCCCTTCCTCATTGAACCGGAGCATAAAGAGTGTGTGTAATAATAATGACCCGACCATATGCATTAAACTGACACCAGTGGGTACTCTACAGAACGCCTTTCTTTTCCAGAGATTAATCATTTAACGGGCGACTTTGGTAATTTTTCAACCTAAACCCCATTTACCATGTTTTTATGCCTCAGTGACTAATGGGAACAACAGTTTTTAAAGTTGGTCTAGCAATTAGAGAAAATGCTGAAGCAGCGAAAACCACTCGGGGCAATTGTGCACCGTTAATGCACATCCTCTAAAAGTGCTTGTTTTGTTTTCCACTGACAGACTCAGATTATTGTTATAAGCGTCTGACAATATTGGAAGAATCCCTACTGAGACAGACCTAAGAGTAAAGACCAAGATTTGCGACGAGAGGAGTTGAAAGAGGCAACTACTTGCAACGCGCCGTTCTGCAACGTTCTAAAAACCTGCCAGGTCACAACAATGCAACTAGATCATGCCCCCCCCCAATGTTCAGATATGCCCAAGATGCCCCCCCAATATATAACTGAAACTGAACAACAACAACAACAAAAAAACGTTTTTTTTCATTGCTGTTCTACGGTAGCCTTGTAGCCCAGGTTCTGCTGTTTAATTTTATGTGCAACATCACTATATTTTTCATGATCAGTGCATTGTTTTACACTGTGTTTGCAAAGTCGTTCTCAAAGTTTCTTCAAAGACTTTCGGGTTTCCAACAATTTGGGCAACCTAATAATAGAAGACAAGTGCTCATTCTTTGTCAAAATTCTTTGTCAAAATATGTTAAAATCACGTGTTTAACAGGGAATTATTCAAAATTTTCCCGGGGAGAAACAGCCGCCCAGGTAAAAGACTGTTCCCACTTCAGGGCTAAAGCCCCCGATGTTTTCAACTCCTAGCGACGCCCCTGGTCCCCCCCAATGTTGACTCCATGGCTACAGCCTTGAACAAGATGAGACTGTGTAACATCTTTATGCAACAACTCTCTGTACCTCTGTTGTGATTTCCAGCTTTTCAGGTTTATTTTGTGGCTGAATATAATTTGTAGCTTCTTAAAATATGAATGAGGATAGTGATAGTGAGATACTGGCTACAGCTGAGAGCAGAGATGAACCAGCGAAAAACACAACGAGCATCAGATGGACTGCATTTATAATCCATACACCACAATAATATAAGTTAGCAGTGCCACTTAGTCAATGAGAGTGTGTGTATGTGTGTGTGTGTGTGTGTGTGTGTGTGTGTGTGTGTGTGTGTGTTTGGAGGGGGGGGGCATCAACAAATACATCGAGCAGCAGCAGCGACCCACTGTCTGACACCAGGACATGTGAGGACGAAAACAGAGGGCTTGGCAGGAACAGAGCACCTGCCTCAGCAAGCGAACACACCGTCTGTGGTTATTTTGACTCGACCAGCAGACCTCACTACAAGCTGATTGGCTGTTGAAACAGGTGATGTGCTTTATGTCCTAAAACCAGCTGCCGGTGATTTGATAGCGGAGCTGAAGGTGACACCATCAGCAGGCTTGAATTGAGCTCAGACGGCGAGTTCACACCGCTGCAACTTTTCGGCAATGTTCTAAATCTAATCTTATTCGAAATCGTTTAATCTCGTCGTGAATCACTGGTCTGGATCTAAGAACAAGGAACAGCCCTGAAAATCATCAAACCATCGTCAAACCCACCAGACTCAATTTAAACAAACAGTAATTTGCGTGCAGAGAGCCAGCATATCTCAATGGGTTGATTAAGGATTTATTTAAATCAAACCAGAATTGGACGTTTTTCTGAGTTTTATTTTGTTTCTGTCAACTTTGAATGAAGTGTGTTTTACAATAAGAAAAGTATTGTATATCTAAATGGAGTTTTGCTGGGTTTTGTGACTGTGCTTTCAGAGCTGTTTCATGTTAAACAAAAAGGATCTTACTCTGTAACGTAAAGGTCTATCTCTGTAGGGCTCCTTACCACAGTGTTGTCAGACACTTAAAATATTAAACTGAGCCAGCATGAGCATTTGTAGTGGATGTAAACTGATGGTGCACAGTTGCCCATTACCGTTACATTGCAGCCTGTTTCAGCTGCAGCACAATCTCTCATTATTGGACCAATTTCATAAATCGTTGTTTCCACTTATCATTTAGACACAAGAACATGGGAAAATGGGGTCCATGTTGAAAAATACCAAAGTTACCCTTTAACTCCACCGGAGCTGCTGTCAGCTCACCAAATGGATGTGCAGAAACCAAATACATTCACCAATAACTTTTGGTGATGTAAGTTACAGACGAAGTCAAACAATGGTGAGAGGGTCATGGGAAAGTTTACCAGCAAATATTTACATTAAAGTCTAATATTTCATACTGCCCGTCTTTGTTTCTGGTTGTTTAATTACTGTGGGATTAGACACATTTAGCTCTCCCCAGCTCCCTCTCCCCTCCACGCACCTCACGGGCGTCTTAATCGGGACGGACTTAGGGGCCCCCGTGGCACTAGGGGTGAAGCCTTTGTGGGCCCAGCAAAGAAAGGAAAGGAGTGTGTCAGCGATTTCGCCAAGAGTTACAGCCTTGTTTGGCCTCTTGCCTGCTGCTTGGTCAACTGAGTTTCTGTGGGGGCACTGGGCAGAGTGACAGGACCAGTTACAGTGAATCAAGACCTTGTTGGACCTAGGTGAGCTTGGAAAGATAGATGAGGCGAGATGGAGAGAGCAAGAATGGGTGTTAAGTCCCTCTGGCTGCTTCTGAACCAGCCGGTTCATTCTGGTTGGTTTCTGGGTTGTACTTTGTTCTCTGTCACGTGGTGGGGTTGGTACTATGCTGGCACAGCCAAGCAATGAGTGCTCACATTCACATCTGCTCATGAGTAAAACATGAAGAACCGTCTTATTATCCAAAATGAGAAATTATTATATGATAATAATTATTATATGACCTCATGTGGTTGCAGTGATTCATAATTGTTAAAAAAAACTGTTTTATTGACTGCTGACTCATCATTCCTTTTAACTGGCCGGTGGGGAAGAAGTCTTACCGTCTGATGTAGGACACATTTTGGCATTCAGTGTGGCTCAAAGCCCAACATTCATTGAAAAGTGAACTGAACTTGAACTGGAGAATCTGCATGTTAATTTCACATCCAATATGTCATGATTTTCTAGAGTTAAGCACGATACGAGATGTCTTCGACACCATCTTGACTGTAAAGAAGCTGTAGGAGACAATTCCACCGGGCGCAGTTGTGCTGCTTGTGGCTGCCACCTTGTCAGGGGCATAAATATAGACAGTGCAGGCAGTGTAGTTGCACTGGGGCCTGTGGGGTGAGGGTGGGGCCCTTGTAAGTGATTCAGATTGCCACCTTGGAACGACAATTGTGTTTAAAGAGGAAGTCACATTAAATTAAAAATGGTACGATTCTGCAGTGATGCGGGTGCTGCGCCAGGCCGTCATGGTGAGGAGGGAGCTGAGCCGGAACCCTCACCTAT